GGGGGGAAGGGGGGCTTTTTTTCTCCCCATGCTGAGCACCAGCTTGTTCCCCACCGCCACTGCTCAATCCAGACAGGCGAGTGTGGCGCACACAGGGTCAAGGCTGCATGCTGGTCCCTGCGTGTACCACGAGGCTCGGGCAGGGCACTGGAAGTGAGTGGGCATGCAGGAGTCAGCAGCAGCCAGGAGCGCGGGGCCTGCACCAATGTCTCAGAGCAGGGCCACGCGCCAGCAGGGTCCCGAGCAGGGCAGCAGGAGCACAGGGTCTCAGCCAGCAATGGCTTTATGGAGCCAGGTCAGCTTTCCACCCTCTCCCTGCTGATGCAGCCCAGCCTGGAGCCCAGACCTCTGCTAGCCCGCACTCCGCACTCCTACCGTTCCACTCTGGGCCCCTCTGCCACTGGCCGTGGGAGACCAGCACAGGCCCTGCACTCCCACATGCTACTCACTTCCACTCCCCCACCGCTTTCCCCCCAGCTACATGGCTAGACTGTGGGACTCAGCAGGAGCTGGCTCAGCCTGTGGGCTGTATTTTGCCCACCCATGGCATAGATCCTCTTAGCACAACCCATGGGGAAATAGGATCCACTCAATGCAGAAGACTACTTAATGAACAAACTTTTAGTATTTTGTAGTTTATGACAGCTAACAAGATAAAGAGTCCCACATGGTTTGGCTGCAGATTAAATTAGGCTGCGTTGGTCTGTTTGCTTTTTGCCCTAGGCTTGAAAAAAGAAGAGACTGAACTTGCCACAGAGTCCTAAGTATACTTAAGCCTGCCTGTTCAAAGAGGGTGAAGTGCATAGGGGTACCCTCTGACAGGGCAGACTATCCATTGATCCACACATGTTAGAATCTTTTATACTAGTGCACAGTAAATGCAAATCATTACAATTCTAAATTATACTGCACTTTGTTTGGGTGCAGAGAATTAATGCATGGTAAGTCAGGATCAGATCTGGCATATATAAAGCTTTGTGGTTTTCTAAGGAAAGAGAGAAGAGAAAGCAAAGAAAATAAGTAAAATACTTACTGTCAGGAAGGTATCAAGATTCAACCTGCAGAACTCAGATGTCAAATAGCCGCAATAAAGCTGTAGTTTGTTCTCTCACACAGAGCTAAAGGAATGATTTCCAGGAAGGAATGCTGAGGAAAGTGCCTATAAAAGAGCAGATCCAAACTCAAGAGTTTAGCAATGACCAGAGGGTCAGAGAAGAGGCAGCTAGAGTCATGAAAAGTCTGACTTTTAGTGTTCTAAAGGGCAGAAGGGACAAACTGATTGGGACCCTCATGTATTATGTATTTCTGACAGCAACATCCTTCTACTGTTTACCTACAACATTATGGTTATAAAGGGGGGAAAATCCCCTTTAAAAAGTAATTCCTGCTTTACCACCATTCCAATCTACCCTTCATGTCTTCCCTCTTAAAGCAGTGAATAAGGTCACTAAGAGCTACTGACCTTTGACATGGATGCTTTGTTCATATCTCAATAATTATTATGATAAGCTCCACAGGCCCTAGCCCCAATACAGTAGGAGCTGTAAGAAGAAAACCTATATCCCAAAGAGCACACAGTACAAGTGTTCTTACCTTGAAAAGTTCATTGTCAAGTGCAATGCATATGCAAAGCCAGAAACAGATTTTGAGCAGTAATATTTATCACACATCACAGATCAGGACTTAGCAATATGATTAAGTTTATTGTGCGTGGGGAAAGATTACAACAAAAGCAGTGCCACTTTCAAAGAGTTCCTCTGCATAAGAAAGGGGAAAAAAAAGCAAAAGGGAGAGAGAATGAGAGAGACTCTTACATGATCATTGTACATCTCAAAACTCTACCCTTTCATTTGGTTTGAACTACATTAGAAAAAACAGTCCTCTAGGGATGAATGTTAATGCATTGTTACATTGCTTTTATCCCTTCTATCACTGAATCACTTATGTTTTAAGCCTGTCCAAATTCAATAAAGAAAATAATCTTGCGCAACAAGAACTGCTGATAAGCATGTTACTGAAATCCAAATATTTTGATTACATTTCTTACACTGATGTTCTACCCAAAATGAATTCTGTTGCATCCTGGAAACTTCCCCCCAGCCCCATTCAGGAACCACAGCAATGCCCCAGCTAAGCTACCTGTAAGGAAACAGGTAGGCTTCATACAGCATCCCTACTAAGAACATAACACAGAGAGATTAAAACTGCAAATTGCTGAGTGCCCTCAGCTCCTGGCATGTCTCAGAAACAAAGGTTCTGTACTATCAGAAAAAAGCAACTCTCCAGAGGAGAAAAAGCCAAGTCTGTGCAAAATGGACATTATCTTCCAACAAGACAAATATAAATGATCATGCTTCAGCTCCAACTCTCCTTTGTCTCCACAGGACTTTAACTGGTATTTTTCATAGTGAATGCTGCACTTGCTCATTTATTCCATACAATATACAATGGGTCCCAGACACCTATGTTGATTAAACACGCTGGAATTGCAATAAAACACACACACACACACACACACACACACACACACACACAGCTAGTTTATTTAAATCTGTTTGTTCAAATTCAAATAGCACATATACATATTGAGATGGAGAGGGCTGAGATTTTAGTTGCATTTGCAGAATGTAGAAATATTTAGACCAGAAGATCAGAAAGCTTATCTAAAAGAGGCCCTTTGAGTAAGTTGTATCACACACTTATTCTGCCTTCTAATATACATTTACTGCTTTTAACAGCTATTCTCAAAGGACTCAACTGTGCCAGTTAAACAGAGTCCATTATTAAGGGTTCCAATTTGGGGCCCTGTCCCTACTATGACACAAAACTACATTTCCTCAATGAGCAGGTTCACCCACAGTCCCAGCTTAGCTAGGGGACAGGCAGGTGGGGTATGATTCACTCCTCCTCCCTGCACCCCTGGGGAAGTAAATTGAGAATGCTCAGAAAGCGTTCCATCTGCTCCTGACTACTGTGCCCTCCGGTGCACAGCCAAGGGGGATCCTGACTGTTGTACTATTCCCACTGCAGGTATTTTCATGAAAAGCTTCCTTTTTCCATTTTTAAACAACTAGAATTTCAACAAACAAACAAAAAACCCAACAGACATACCTCAAAACACCATGGTGGGAGGGGGAGTTGTTTTGTTTTGTTTTTTGGTAAGCCCAATTTGAGAAGTCTTCTTTTTAAGAATGAACATTTCAGAAGAAGTGAAAACCAAAGTTTCCAGTGAAAATATAGTTTTCTGTGAAAGAGCATTAAATCTCAGCAAAACACCACTTCTTAGTGAATATTTTTTAGTGAAATAAACCCTATTTAAAAAAAAAAAAAAAAAAGGCTCTGTCTGAGATCTCCCTTTAAGGTGCAATCTGGATCAGATTCTGTCCTCCTCACATGGAGAAAGAAGTTTTTACCCAGGGCTAACTACAAATGATATTGTTAGTATAGGGGTTGCCCAGTGTGAAACAGATGACATAGTTCGCTCTCTCATAGTCAAATGAAATTCTCTTAGGATGCCACTTGCTGTAAGGTTTATGTCCCCCTCTTCCTGTACATGACACAAACGCAAACCAGCATACCTTTCTGTTCCCATCCAAATGTCTTACACCTTAGCAGGTAGCTCTCTTTGGAACAGATGATGCCTGGCCATATAAAGGGGAATAGGCAGAAGAGGCCCATGAAAGGATCAGATAAGTATTCCAGCCCCTGCAATGAAGCAGCTAGAACAGCCCCATATCCCCAGGCTCCAGCCACCCACTGACCAGCTACACAAGTGGAAGAAATATGCACCTCTCAACAGAGCACAAATCACAAGCAGGAGTAATCTGAGGGCTCTGGCAGGCTTTCTGACTCTCGGGCAGAATTGCCTCCTGGTATTCACATAGGTCAGTCTGGTTTCCTAGCATCATTTCCAACAGGCTACTCCTACATGATAAAAAAAAAAAAAAAAAAAAAATCAAGCCCTTACACCAGCTGTTCTTATTAGCGATCCTTATTCACATTCCATGGGCATAATAGTACTTTTTCCACACATTTACTTATGCGGTTAAAGATTTTCAGAGCTGAGTTCTTATCCTGAATTGATTCTAAAGCCAAATTGTGGTTTGATTCTGCTCCACTGAGCAGATACAAAAACAGATCTGCTCACCCTCATTTTCAAAGGATATAGTCTTAGGATCATATCATATCATCAGTTTACAGCAGCACTCCCTGGTAAAATTAGTGCAGGACTTGGCTAAAAAACAAAATAAAATAATGGCCTTTAATTCCTTTGACCAATTTCATAATTAAGTACTTAATGAATGGGAATATGAATTAATTACTAGATAGCTCACAAATAAAAATAAAGCATCATAACAAAGCAAACTACAAGAGGTATTACAGAATCAATGAGTTATGCAAAAATAGACCCATCTCAGACCATAACATTTTAAGCTGTATTCCCTTTGGTTTCCTTAAAAAAAAAAAACTATGGGACAATATAGCCCTAGAGCCTCAAGTTGGACAAGCCAGTTTACAGAAATTTTTCTTAATGTACCAGTAAGTTTGAGAAATTATTCTCCTTATAAAATACTAACCCAGCTCAAGAGAATTTGCTGAGAATTCAAATGCTAAGTCCTTTTTTACTTTAATTCTCTGCATTGTATCCCTGTACCTTTTCCTAATCCAGGTGAAATCTCCCACATTGTGTCCTATATCAGAGAGGCCAAAGGTGACACTTCCTAAAATCCTCCCCTCTATCTTCTAAGATATAGAAGAACTCCCCCCCTCCCACCATTTCTCCTTTTCCCCATGCCCTTCAAGCAGACCGTATCACCAAGAATATTTAGCATAGCGAGATTCGAGATGGCTCTAGAAAGTGGGGTCGCTCTCTATAGCATTACCACAAGATGTGCAAAAATGATAGGAAGTTGTTCACCATCAACACAGAATCCTGTC